AGTTTCATTCTCTATGTGTCTATAGCCTTAATTATCCCACAAATTACTTTGAAATCCCCAGAGGAAACATTCCTATCTAAAGTGATACTTAGTTTTTATTTATTGCTGTAAGAGCAAAAATGAGTCCACGAAATGTGAGTAGACACAAATTCCTGACCACACATCTCCAAAAGAGGCTGAGCAGCAATTGTGTTCCGTATTTTGCCCTTTGAACCAGCACTGTCTTTTTCTTCAGTTCATTTATCTAACCTAAGTCCTTGAGGTCAGGAATAGGTTTGATGTTGGATTAATAGCAGTAGGACTCATTCATCCCCTCTGATGTTTCGCATGCGCTGCTTTCTCTTTCCACTGTGTCACCTACATCTTTACATACCTTAAGTTTCAGTTCCCCATTACTTGTATTTGTTGTCTGAAATGGCACTTTCTCAAACCACAGCCTTACTTCAAACTGCGTAATGCCCTCTTCTAGGCCAAAAGACAGACACTTAGGACACTGTCCTTTGAATATATTTACTGGATTGAGAGCAAGTTCCTTCAGACATTACACGTTACATTTATGCTACCTCTTCCTGTATCCAATCTGCTCTGTTGGCTCATAATAGCACTTTAATGCAACTTGTACTTTTCTCTGAGCTTCCCAAGTAATTATCCTGACAGAACTGTATGAGTTGATACTGAGGACTTATTTGGGCACTCCTTATGCTTTTTGAATGGATAACTTTGCATATAATGTATGCTTAGATGTTACTGAAAGTACACAGAGTGTGCAGATGTTTGATGCAGAACTTCTAGTGGTTTGGGTGATATTATTAAATGAATGTTAACTGTCTATTTTTATCTTCTGATCTGTTACCTGTCCATTTGCATTTTCTCCTGTGAGAAGGTTCATCCAGCTTTGGGTAACTAAATCAAATGTGTAAATCCATCAGAAAGAACAGAGCAATTTACATGAAATTAAGCTTTGATTTAAATTACCTGTAGAGATCAAATCTGTAACGTTAGGTACCAAACCCAGAATACACTATTTTGTGTAACTAAGACATTCCCGACTTTCAATCTATGAAATATCTTGGATCAGACATTTAAAGGCAATGTGACCAATCTCCTCAGCTAATGTATTATATATGCCAAACTTTTAAAATGACACATATATCTTTCAGAGTTAACATTTTTATACCATACAGTATTAGTTAGTTTAATTATGAATGTCTGTCTATGTATAGTCATCTGCACTGAAAGGTAAGAGAAATATCTGTTTGTTTTGCTCAGATAAAGTTTGAAAACCTTTTGCAAATATTTTAAATGTGTCAAGAATGAAAAAAGAAGAAAAAAAATATTTTAAAAACGAGAGAGGACTTTGGAATGTCAAATTAATTGTTCCCACATTTCCTGGGAAAGGGGAATATGTAGAGATGCAACATGAAATTAGTTGTAGATTAGTTTTGTTGCAGGTAATATGTATGTATGCACCTGGGACAAGGAAAGGTGGTAGTGAGGGAAAGGATTTGTAATCTGATCTGGAAACTACCCGATTACCTTCAAAGAGATTGAAGCACTTCCATAATAATTTTCTTAACTAAAGAGTTTTAACTGGACCTTGCTTAGATATTTGTGATAATGAGAGTTTAAATGTGATGCTTTCCTAGTCTCTACTTGATCTAGAATGCAACACATCATCTGCTGCCTGCAACATGAAGGAATACTCTTGGTAATGGCCATTTGCAATTAGCTCTCACAGTTCCTCTAATTTTTCAAAGAAAACCAAGTGTTAAAAGAAGAATCGGCAGCTAATTTGATTGTCTGACACTTTTTTTTTTGTTAATTGAAACTGTCTCTGCCCTCTCACAAAAATAATATGACAGTGTGTGTAACAGTAAAGAGATCATTTGTTGGTGACTTACAACAATATCAGTTACTTGTCAGTATTTACATAATACTGCAAGTGGTGCATGGTTTTAATAAGCAAGCAAGAAAATAAATGGATAATTCACTTTATGCTTTGTTTGTCTCCTTAGTAATATTTATGTTCTGGTTACAAGAACTTCAGAACTTAGTTGTTTTATATTTAGATAAAAATTGATTAATTTTTTAAGTAAATATTTGAAGTGAGGCATGCTTTAACTTTATTGCTTTAATTCTATCAAGGTTCATAAATAAACAATGAAGTTAATAACGTGGTACAATTCTGTTTGGATCCTTTTCATACCTGCATATAGAAATAATAATAAACAAGATAAAATTATCACTCTAATTATATAGGCTTTATTAACAACAGCTTTTAATAGAAAATAAAATGAGCATGAAGCGGAAGGCACTAGCCTGCTGAATCTATGACACTGACCAAATAAATCTTCAGTTGAGTCCTCTGAACAAATCTAGGTCTAGATTTTAAAAAATATTTTGCATCGTGATCCACAGAGGAACTTCAGCATCATGGCATTCAAGATTATTACAGAGGTACTGAAAAGCAAGAAACTTCAGGAGGTCTTTTTGCCTATGTAGCAACTACAGCTTAAGGATCTGTGAAATGAAAAATTGTTAGCTAAAGTTGCAGTAATGTTTATGTTGAATTCTTTGTGAAAGATTCTTTGTTCAGAAAATCTGTAATAAGAATTAATTATTAATTTAATTAGGTCAGAAAATTATTTTTTAAAAACTGGTAAGTGTAGTAGTTTTAAGCTCAACTGCAACTCAGGGTCTATTTTCTTTTATGCATCAATCATCTTGAAGAACTTGAACCCTTTGTGTTGCAGTGGAAGTTTTCCTCATCAGGGAAGGAAATAATCTCTGCATGAAGCTATATAGGAATTAGAGCTAGTCACAGCCGGGGACAGTTTTAGGGTTTGTGACAGGCAATACAGGCTGGTTAAAGGTATCTTCAGCGAAGAAAGTATATTTATTTATTTAGTTAGTTAGTTAGTTAGTAAAGCATATTCTGAGAATGAATAGTAGTCTTTCTCATGTAACACTTCTCCCAAATAAGTTTTGAAGCAGATGCAAAGCCCATGGAGTATTACACATCATTAATTATCTCTTCACTCTGCACCAAAGCTACTTTGTGGTGGCAATTTTTGTGTATGTTCCCTGGTAATATGTGTCTGTAATTAAACTCAGCTCCAGTTATTAGCTGACAGGTTGGCTTTGCTGCTCTCAAAGAAGTCACATTGGAGGGGAACCTGGGAGGTGATGATACGTTATCTGTTCTCCAGAAGGATTTGCAAATACTGACCATGTTAGAATATGTAAGGAATAGACCTTTGCTCCAGTCATTAAAATGTGTCTTTGTGGGATAAATGAGTCTATATGTTTTGTCAAAGGTACAGAAACCGCTGTATTGAATTTGACAGTACTGCAGTGCTATGCCAGATGGGGCTACATGAAAGTGAAAAGAGTCCATTATTAAAGAATAATTTTCTCAAAAGCTTTGAGTGTCTTTCACCTCAAACAGGGTGTAGTTTCTGTCCTTAAGCAAAATAAATGTTTTCTACCCTGTGTTAGGGTTCCTCTCCTCCCCTACCTTTTCACATAATAACATAAGGAATCCCCTACTGAGTAATCCCCTATAGTCTGTGAAGCCCAGCAGTGGCAAAGGGAGATGCTATTTAAAGACCAAGCATATGAGGCCTGGCTGTCTTTTGCAGTCCATTCCCTTTGTGTTTCTCCAGTATCCAAAGCCAATGTATAAGGGATGGTGGCCTAGTCATTTTAGTATCCATATATAGACTGACTGCCCACAAATTTGTCCAACATCCTTCTGAACCTGTCTGGCTTCACAACCAGAATCTTCTGTTGGCAAGATGTCGAATTGCTCTTCCTCTTGTGTATAGAAGTATTTTCATTTATCCTGTTTTTAAATCTTCTGTTAGTCTCATTAAGTATCCTTAGTTCTAATATTGCAAAATTTTGTTAGTAACAGTTTGTCTTGGTGTTGGATATATGAGTAGGGCAAAATTTTGTAGAGCAACAGAATTGTTGTTAATTTTCATTATTCTGTATTATTTTGTATTCTATCAAAAGGGAAAAAATGAGTCTTTGTTGTTTTGTTTATAGGACTGGTACTGAACAGAGTGTTTCATTGTGCCATCTGCATTGCCAATAAATCTTTTTCTTGCCTCTTTAACTACTTCAGAAGCCAGAATTTTATTCCAAAACAAACATGATAAATATATCTATGTTGTAATTACAATTAAGGAATTAAAGTTATGATCACTTTAATTGTATTTTAGCTTCAAGGTAGAAATGTTAGTTTCTAGTTAGAATATAACATTTAAAAATACAGAGGCATTTAGAAGGAGAAAAACTTGCTGACAACCTGTGTAATATGTGAATGAAGCAATGAGATGGTGAATGGAAATGAAATTATGGGCTTCATAAGGAGCAGGAAATTAAGGTTATGGATTCATCGTAGCAGGGAAGGCTCTATTTGAACAAAGAGATTCTTCCCCTTTTAGATCATGAGGCATCACTGTGGCAATATAGCAGCTGTTAACAAAGCCAATTTTTAGCAACCAAGTATTCAATATACTTGACATTGTGTTTTTGAACAATTTGTAGTCTGGAAATGAGGATGAGATGACACTGAACACTTGCTTCTCTTCAAAAACATTGTATTGCCATCTCTGTTATTGATCCTTCACTTCCTTTTTGTTCCAGGAAAAATAATTGAGTGTGCCTAAACATAAAAGATAAGTGGTGAAAAATTGATTTATTTACCATTTTTTACTTCTATATATGTATGAAGAATTATATTTCAGTTTTGATCATAGATATGTCAATACTGTTCATTTCTAGATACAGCAAATCTTATGTGTCTGGCTTGAATCACTTTAACCAGAAGCGTTTTTGCCTGAATTTTGGAATCAAACACATGTGGACTGAAACTTAACAATTTTACAGATATTTACTGACTTTGCATGTTGCAATGGACATCACTTTCATGTAGGAGTTCTTGACAGTCTGTGAATATATGTGTTGAAAATTGTAATGCTCTCTTATTACAGCTTCTGCAAACAAGACAAGTTGCCCATTACGTTCCAGTCCTGTGTGATCACGAAGGAGTGTCAGGTGTCAGAGTGGTCAGAATGGACCCCCTGCTCCAAAACCTGCTTTGACATGACAACCCCTAAAGGGAATCGTACAAGATCACGGACCATTAAGCAGCTCCCTATTGGCAGTGAAAGTGAATGCCCGCAATTAGAAGAAAGAGAGCAGTGTGTTTCTCAAGGCGATGGTGTGGCACCGTGCATTACGTAAGATGGTTCATTTCAGTTCTACCTTTACTAAAATGTGGAATTTCAATTAAGTGTACAGAGCTGGTAATGGAATATCAACAAAATAATTATTAAAGAAATAATAGGTTTTATTTTATTTTTAACTTTTGCTTATTCTGTGCTCTTAAAAGCCTGGAGTATGCAAATAGCTGCTATTAAAGTGAAATCAATTCCTCCAGGAAAAAATAAAAAATACATATTTTTACATTCATGTTAACTTTTAAAAGAGACTATTGATGCATATGCAGGCTCAGTCAAGACCATAATAAATTACTTGTATTAATTTTTCAGTGACCTTTTCCCTATATAACATTTCTACCAGAATCATTGCTTTCTGAAGTATTTGTCTGCAGACAAAATGCTGACAATGCAAAAAAGGTGATAAACATCTGTTTAGCAACCAGACTTCTTTAGTTAGACTCTTATTCAGCACAACAAAGCCAGGACTGGGCCCCAAATGAAAAGTGGGATAGGCTAACAGTGACAGTAAATAAATTAACCCTGTTTAAAGTTTAGGAGAAATGACAGTAAGCACTTTACGATTCAAGAGATTGCTGTAATACTTATCAACTAATCAAAATGAATATTAAAGTCCCAGCTGTGCTTTTTCTTTGTCAGACTGAGAAGAGGGTCTAGGGAAATGTCATTTGATGTTAAGCATCTTTGACTGTGGTACATATTTTTCATTTAAGTGTTGAAATGCCATATTTCCCCATCGCCAGCTGCATTAGGAAGCAGTTCACTTGATTTAGCCTTAAAATACTTGTTGGGTAGAGAATTCTGTGGCATTTCTTGCAGTTCATAATCCTGATTGGGTTTTTAACTGAGTCACAGATCTTTCCTGTGCATTCCCTGATTAGAAAGCTCACAGCTTCTCATCATTCATCAGTACCCAGCAGGGATGCTTCAGTACTGCAGAACCATCTTCCTCTTGACAGTGAAAAAGGAACTTACTGAAAGATTTTCCCGAAGAAATAATAAAAAAACCCCACAATTACATCTTTACCTTGATATTTGGAAGAAACTTCTGTCTCTCTTATCAAAGATGAATAAGAGGCTTTTGGGCTGTTTGTGGGGGGTTGGGTGGTTGTGTTTTTTCCCTTCTCCTTTTCTGGCTCTGTTACTTAGTGTGCACATTTCTTTGATATTTTGCCTTTGGTTCCTATAAATTGTCTAGCTCTAATCAAATGCTAAGAGTCACAATCTTGAAAGTTAGCTTATCTGAACAAAGACTATATGTGTCTGTATATCAAGTGTTTCTTCCCTCCAATAAAATATTTATATGCACAGCATGGTTCAGCAATTGAACAGAAAATATCTTCCTAAAAAGTAATGATTTCAAAAGTGAAATAATAGAGGAAAAGTTTCCACCTACATAAAATATCAGATGTAGCTTATCTTTGTGTAAATGAAACTGTGGGGCTCAGGACTTTTAGAAAATGAATAAAGCTATTAAGGTGTTTCAGCTTGTATAACTTAATGCTGTGTAAATGTCTTAATGATTTCTAAACACCCATTTAACCAAATTTGATCCAGGTACAGTTGGCGGACCACAGAGTGGACAGAATGCCGTGTTGATCCTCTTCTTAGCCAACAAGACAAGAGGCGAGGAAATCAGACAGCGCTGTGCGGAGGTGGCATTCAAACCCGGGAAATGTACTGTGTGCAAGCTAATGAAAATCTCCTCTCCTATTTAAATACCCTAAAGGAAAAAGAAGGTAAATTTGATGCACTTGCAATTGAATTAGTGTGAAATCAGAGCACTTCAGCATGCCAGAGTTCCTTGACAGCCAGTGGTTTTTGCCATGGGTGCCTTCTTACCTTGCGGGCTACTATTATTTTCTAGTTCAGATGAAAATACCTAATTGCAGTAGCAGAGATGTCATTCTCTATGCTACAAATATTATTTCCTAGTTACAAATTACTATCTCTCAATATCTACTGAAAAAAATTGTCTTATGTGCAGGATGCCTCTAAATAAGAAAGAGCATGAGAAGGTGGGTCAGAAATCCTTCCTCTAATGTAAATTTCCTGTGTGTCCTTCAGCTAGGTGATGAACCTGTGCAGTTTGATGTGTAGATGGAATGTGTCAATTCTAGTATGTAAGCTCAATATAAAATTATATAAAAATATGAGTAGATTTGATTCTCATGGAATTATATATTTTTTTTTTCTTCTCTTGATTTGGTCAAGTTTTTAAGTCACTTTTAGGACTTCAAGCCAATATGATTTAATGGGTCTGTTTCCCTAACTGAAAGAAAGAAGAGATTATTCCTTGTCACTGTTGCAGATTGTACAGCTTCTTAAGAAAAGAGATAATAGGTTAGGCGACAAAATCTTTAATTCATTTGTTAGTATATGTATTTAAGAACAACACTTGAGTATTTTATGTTACGTCTACTTTGGCATACTAATGCAACACTATAGATTTAGAATTTAGTGAATTAAACTAAATATATTTAGCTTGTTAATTAGATTTTATCCTCTTCTGTTATTTAAAAATAAATAAATAAATACAGCCATATACTTCAGGAAAAGTGACATCATTATACAAGTCGTGTAATACAACATTTAGACCAGAGCTGACTAAACTGCAGGCTAGTGAGGTTTCTGTGCTGTGGGTTAAAGATACTCTCAGACTTGCTGTAGAGGTAGAGTTTGTGGAGAATATTAATGCTGATATCCATTTCAGAGTGACTGCTCCGATCAGTAGGGTGTGACTTCTTGGGCCCCACATCTGTATTTATTAAAGAAGCAGCTTTCAAGCCTCTTAGTTTAATGCAAATCAGCTTCTGCCCAAGGGCTTTTAGTAAATCGCCTCTGACGAACAAAGTTTAGATGCCCCTGCCGTAAAGGAGTAAAACCTCCCAGCTAAGGAGAGGTAACAATAAAATCAGTGGCAGCTTACTGTTCAGAATGGTGATTAGGCTTTTGGCAGGCTGTGAAGACTCTCTGGCTTAGGCGGGTGTGAAATCTGCCCTTATCAGACTGTGACAGGAATACACGGAGCCCATCAGGAGGTAATCTCTGCAGGCCCTGGAAAGCTGATTAAAATGTAACTAGTCTTTGGATGCATAAACATGAGAAAAATCTTTCAAGAGCTCCAACTAGGGGTGAAGTGGGTCTTGGTTTAAAAAGGAGCTCTGGGGTACTTCCATACTAGGGGACAGATTTTCAGGAGAGCTGCTTCTCCACTTAGCCTCCCTCTCCCGCCCCTCCCATCTTGGATTCAGTGCAAGCGAGAGCTGCTCTCCAGGCCCTCCTCGAAGCAAACAAATCAACACCTCTAAAAAAAGCAATACCATTTGAAAACTATGAGTAATCTGAGGATGGGAAAAAGCTGGGGGAGACACCTGATAGTTTTGGCTGTGGGGAAATGCCTTCATTTCAGTGTAGTTTGCTGTTGGTTGTAGCGAACGCTGTCTCAGTAAGGCTGCTTTGAAGACCTTCGTTCTCATATATTCATGGTGGCGTTTCCCTGTTATTTCAGAAAGTCAGTCACAGAGCAAGTCGAAGGCTAGTGCTGCACCTCTGCTATCAATCACTTTTGAAATAACAGGTAGGTAAATTAAAGCCTCCGACCTGACCTTTCAATCAAAAGTGTGCAAAGGAGGCAATGTCCCTTTCAGAAGAGCTATGTTGGCTGTATGTGTATAATTAACATGTTTATATAGCTCTGAAATAGCTTAATGGATTTGTGCATTCTCAGGAAATTTCAGGCCAGTTTGAAAGTGACGGGCCTAAACTCAAAGTAATGAAGCTCATGGGCCAGCTAAGATGCTAGGACAGTTCCCTGCTCCACTCCTGAACCATTTTAGCAAGTGCCTGACTTTCTTCTCAGTTCTGAGCTCTGGGAGTTGCTTCGCTCCATTCATCACAGCTTCTGCTTCCAGTCCCTTTTGTAGATTTAAAACACCAAGTTAGGGCTCCAGTAGAATTTGAACTTTTAATACTTAGCTGAACCAGAATTCCTCATAACGTTCAGGTCTGTATTATCTTCTATCAGAATTCAGAAATTTAGACTTGAGGAAGAAGAGGGAGTATTTGGTGTAGTAATTAGGCAGCTGACAATCAAGATTCCTGGAGGCCACTGTCATTCTGTCATTTACTTGGCAGTGACTTAAATTGTTCATCTCTATTCACCTATTTAACTGGTTTAGTCATGAAATTTCTGTCATGGTAAACCTATAAAACCCTCGATGTAGAATAAGGATGGGAGAAAAGTTACTTTATGGGCATAAATTTAATCTACATCTGCAAACACACACTCATTTCCCTGTAAAACACAGAGGAACTGCTTACATGCATGGAGTTGCTTAGAGGATCACATCTGGAATTATCTTCTGTCTTTTGATGACAGCATTGAGCTTTGTAAAAAATGAGGGAAGAATATGTTTTCATTGTTGGTCACAATGTGTTTTGGACTTGGGTTTTTCTTGCATTTTTTGTGACAGCACTTTAGATGGAGAAATTTCCTTCTGTTTGCTGTAAAACCATTGCGATAATTGACCAGAAAGAGGAATATTAAATTGTGTCTGCTCATGCTGATGCAGCCACATACAAATTCACTCTCTTTGCCAGCGTGGTCATTACTGGACACTAGTCGGTTGAGGGTTTCTGGAGAAAAACAGGGAGATTGAAACCTCCATAAATGTAGCAAATGCTTAAGAACAGAACTATATTTTTTCTTTCCAGTTCTTTTTAAAATGTAGTCATTCATGAAGGTGTTTCACAAGGGTATAAAATAAATTCAGCTAATATTTCCTAATATAGTAGATGATTTGAGGACAGGGTGATTGAATATAATTTTATTTTTTAGGTCACTACCTCAAACTGGAAATTAATTCAAAACTGAGGCTAATTTTTCAGTTAGACTGAAGGAGAAAGAAAGATTATCAAAATGCATTCGCTTTTCTTTCCATTTTTGGCCCCAAATTTGGTCAAATTCCACACAGAGTTTGTAGCACTACACACGGTCTAATCAGTATTTAGTATCACTGCCAAGGAATAAAGAACAATCTTTATTGCTGCCACAAGAGATTATGAAAGGACAGAGATGAGAAGGTTTAAACCGTAAATTTCTGCATCTAGCACCATCATCTCTCAAAGAATCTTTGCTAAATAATAAGCAGCAAAAGCTGAGCTCATTTATACTTTTTTGATGCTGACAGAAATCCATTTAAATTAATGGGAAGAAGATGTTAAGACACCCAGTCAAGGCTAAATTTTCTTATTTTACTGTCATCTCAAAGAAAGAATTCTGAGTAATCCTGGGTGAAATACAACCTGGTTGTTCAATGATGAAAACATTTTAAAATAATCTGGAATATAACTTGTCTGTCCTACTGTTGAATTCTTTTGTTTTAAAAGCAATATATAATAGGTCTGGTAACAGACATTTGTACATCATTTTTGTTCCAAGAACAGCATTTTAAAAGCGTTTTGTTATATTGAGAGATTTATCGATATCACTTACTTCTTTCTTCCCCTACACTCTAATGTGTGATAGAAAAGGCAGATATTTTGACTAGATGTTTTCATGATAAATTTATTTAACAATGTTTTCTGACAAGACCTAGAATCCTTACTGGACAGATACCTCTAAAAAAAATTGAAATAACATTCCTATTATGTAAGTAAACCTCTTGAAAGCCAAATACAGTCACAATTCCTCATAGTTTAGAATTTCAGGACCTTCACAAATTTAGCTTGAAGCCAAATGGATTTCAACAGTAGTACCTTCTATTGGCAGACTCAAAAAAATCTGGTTGAGATATAGAACAGCTGTGATATGAAAATCTGCTATTTAAAGCTTCCCAAAGAAAGGTCTTTGTTATTTTTCTGAGTAACATTGCATGAAGTAGTGGGATGGTAAATGCTTTATCCTGATGCAGGCTGGAGATGAAGCACGACATTCCGCAGAACACTTTCTCTGTTCCCTGAAGCAAGCCTGTGTCTCACGGGTGTAATTGACCCTTAATTTCAACTGTCTCACTTGAGCAATTCCCCGATTGAATCAGGGTTTAAAAAGTATGGCTAGCAATTACTAACTGTTTTTCTTTTTTTTTTTTTTTTTATTAGAAACTATTCAATACTAATTCAATTACAGGCAAATTATGTTTATTTATATCCATGTTCTATACAAGATATGCATATTACGTTGATTATCATGGACATTAGGTGCATATGTCAAACATTGTAAAATTTGATGTTCTGTCATAAAATTTAATTCCAACATAGCATTATGCAAATGTTGGAATATTTGTCCTTGTATTATTTTGTGTTAAGAGATTAGTGAGCTGGAGGCATTAATGTTGAATGACTATCTGCCATCTTCATGACTTCATTATGTGGAGCAACACAGTGTAAAACTGCCAAACGAGGCACCAGGGGAAACAAGAATAGGGTGATTTTTGATTCCCTTTCCCCTTAAAATAGTGAGAATCAGATGATTTTTCTGTAACTGGAAAGATGATCTACTTCGTAAATCTGAATGGAAGGGCACACACATATCTACAAATGATACCATACTTTTAACAACCTGTTGTTTGCTTTAACATTATATCTGTGGTTACTGATCTCATCTTTCAGAAGGATATTTTGTCATGTTTTGAAATTATTTCAGAATATGTTTCTTCAGCGAGCTCTTTCCATCAAAGGAGATTATTTGTAGTGATGGGAGAAAATTAATGAGGTAACTTCCCTGTGAGAAAATACTGAGGGAGTAGGATGAGAGTGTTTTAAGTTAAGAAATCACATGTTTCTTCAGTCAACCAAAGTGAATGAATATGTCAGACATCACCTTCTAGGTGATATTCTCTGCTTAGTGTAATATTTTGTCAAGTCCTGTATTATGAAAGAGATTTAAAATCTTGCTTGTAATAAAATGGTACATTTTGTTTTAAAATCCTGTGCCTTACTCCGCCACCTTATAGAGTTGTCCTATTATTTGTGTAACCTGGGAATTCAAGAGTAAATTATGGAAGGAGCCTGTTCCAAGCTTTATTGATCCTTAAAGGACAGAAGAAACTGCCTTCACATGTATCCTTATAGATTAATAATACCTTAATGAAAAAATAAATTGTCTTGTGCAGAGTTTTAATTATTTTAAATATATTGTGTATATATGTTTATATTATATGCAAAACATATATGTATCTAAAAGCCTTTCTTGAACTAAAGCTCTTATTGTACAAATCTTATTGCTGAGTGTGCACTTGAAGGTCTTTAGAGTAAAAGAAAAAACTAAATTTTGTCATAATTTTAACTGTGTTTCAGGTTATAGCTTAAATATAATCTTCTAAATATTAATTGACCAGGCTTTTGAACTTATAGTATCATATAGGAGCAAAGGGTTTTATACAGTTTTTTGTTCAGTTTCTTAAGTGAAAACATACTCAATAAGACAGCAGAACATTGATTTACACAGAGTGCAATATGAACAATGTTATAGTAATATAATCTATCCATTAAATGAAAGGAGTAGGTCTGAGAGGGTGCTCTAGTATCTACTGTCTTGACTCCACGTAATCGGATTTGGTTCTGTTCATGCAGAGAGTAAACTGACTTCTGTTTAATTTTTTCAAGACAGGCATTTTTGCATCACTTCATCAGATTTAAAATGATGAGCTAGCAGCCTGAATGAAGGATGGGTTTGTCCACTTAGAGCTGAGGATCGTGACAAGTGACACGTGAGTAATGTGTTGACTTTTTTTTGACAGCCTCGAGGCCAGTGGACCGTAAGCTGTGTACAGGACCTCTTCCCAGCACATCCCAGCTATGCCATATCCCTTGTCCTACAGAGTGTGAGACTTCAGCCTGGTCAGCCTGGGGACCATGCACCTATGAAAGCTGTGATGACCCTCAGGCCAAGAAGGGTATGTAAAAATTCAGTGAAGACTTTTAATGGTGATTATTTCATATTCCTAAGTCACTAGGAACCTTTGGCTATGCAAGCATAAAAAATTTTGTACCAAGAAGGGTATATCCAGTGCTTCTAAGCATCAAAAAAAGGTGATTGAATTTGGACTATATTTAGCATTACAGCTTCACCAAAGCTGGCGAAAATGTAGGCCGTTTACTAGGCTCTCAAGGTCAATTTTGGTTATTACAGGTCAATTCCAGTTTCAAACCTTCCTCTCAAACTGAAAGGGATACAGTTTGTATATTTGTTCAAATCACAGTTCTGGCACTGTCTCAAAAGGAGGACGGAAGGAGCCAGAGGTGCACAGTGTCCAAGTCACTCAAAGGTTTACAGTTCAGTAATAGCTTAAGCATTCACCAGTAGACCATAAAGCATGCTCTGGCAAAGAGCTGGGAGCATTTGTTGTTGGTAAGTGACACTTTTACTGATGACGTATGTACTAGTTTCAATTTTCACATTTTACAGTTTATTCCTATGCAGAGCAGATTGTAGTAACCTGACATCAAAATAGGAAAGCAAAAGTACAGTGACAAGGGCTTCATGTAAGAAGTTTGCAGGCTTCTGGCTGTAAATGAGAAAAACTGGCTTAGTCATTGCTGTGATGTGATTATTTGACAAAAGTTGAAAATACAGACTCGGTTTCTTGATTGAAAACACTCTTAAGAAAGGGCAGCCACAAATGTCCACTTGAAGGAGCAACTGTAATTACCATTATAGCTTAGCTGCTTCTTCCTGGTATACTGCTAACTACACATCAGTCTGGGCAGCAATAATGAAAATTTTACAATGCTGTCTCATGGTAATGCAACCCAACCTTGATCAATTCAAGAAGGAAAAAGCATTTCAGTCTGTAGACCTACTAGATTAAGTCTCCTCTGAGTACAGCTGTCTAGTAGTCAGTTATTTCTGTTGCTGTTCCATCACTGAAAGATTTGCTACATTTTTGGGGTAATGTTTAGGTTTGTGAGACTGATTTGGACACCTGCCTAATGGAAATGTATTAGGATGTGCTTTATGCAAGTCTTTATTCCTGTACACATGAATAGGGATCTTTCTCAACTGCCAATGTTTTCCTCTTATGTGGAAATTCTTATATTTTATTTTATAATTGCATTGACAGTTCTTCTAAGAGAATGATGTAGAAGTTGTACAGGCACTCCCAGTTTTAGCAACAAGTCTCTCTACATATTTCAGGAATAGCCCTTTACTGTGGACCATTTGCCTCCTTTGTTGCAGTAGACACTGGAGTTCTTTTTTTTGAAATTATGTCAGCCTTTTGTGGCAGGCTTAGTAAACCATTTGAACGTAATTTGGCTGACCTCTTCAATTTAGAAAAAAAAAAAAAGATACATGGAAATGTATTTTTAAAGTAGTATTTATTATAATTAAATTAAGAGGCACATCCTCAAACAGAAAACAAATTCTTGCACATACGTGTTTGAAAACTGTCTCCTGTTTAGTTTGTGTCCTGGTAAAAATCACAGAGTCATATGTAGTATTTTATAAAAAATATCTCTGTGTTACTAACCTACCTGAATATTGAGATAAAATAAAAGAGGCTGGGAAGAGATGTGAAAAGAAACAAACCTTTGCCAAAGTTAAAATACTACAATCAGATATATCAGATACTATAGAAAATTATTACATGAGAAACTGTTTCCTGAATCCATTTAGCTTGGTTAGGTTGTTCTGACTATAGATTTAGTCTGGCTTTTTCAACATGCCATCCTGAAAGTGGGAGAGAGGGACACTCTTAGAGACTGACATTGACCTGGCGGACGACACATTCTATAAAGGCCCATCAGTTTCTCTGATCCCAAATGAGCTTAGATAGTTTTAAGGAAATTTGTAAATACTTGCAAGAGAATATTGTGATGTTAATTACAGAAAATTTGTTCATAGGACTTCTTGAGTTTATTTTCATACCTTTTCTGTCAATGTAGTCTTTTTTTTTTTTTTTTTTTTTTTTTTTTTTGGTGGGGGGGTGTGTGGGGAGAAGTGTTTATAAACTGACTTCACTTGATAATCCATCCCTGTTGGAAGATACCTGGAAATAAAAGAAACAACGTATTTGAGAAATGACAACCCAGCAATCTAGTCAAGATTTGTTAGATGAGATGGATCTGGCAAGAGTGATATACAGGAAATGACTACTGTCTTCCCCTTGGAGTACATATGACTAGGATAAACAGGGGTTTAAGCCAAAGTTTACTGAATAAGCTGAAAACTTTTGATGCTCTTGTTAAATTTTACATCTCTTCCTTCTTTAATGAGTTGTTCTACCGAGTTATGTAAAACACAGTGCTGCGCTGAGTGTCTGGTATCTTTTACAAAGAAGAGAAACTGAACTGTTCACTCAGGTGTAGGTAGATAAAAATACCTTCATTTTCCATTTTAGAATTGAATTATTCTGCCCATTGTTTTTTCATTGACACTTCAGGCTTTAAACTAAGGAAACGGCACATCACCAATGAGCCTACAGGGGGAACGGGGAACTGCCCTCACCTGCTGGAAGCCATCCCATGTGAAGAGCCCTCCTGCTACGACTGGAGAATTGTTGGTCTGGAGGAGTGCATTCCTGACAATGAGAAGCCATGCGGCCCTGGTACGCAGGTTCCTGTTGTCATCTGCATCACCAGTGATGGTAAGATGCTTTTTTCCCACAGTTAAAGATGCTGAAGTATAGTCCAAAAGGGTAGCAGTTTTTGTTGTTCTCAGCTTTCTCTGAAATAGAGAGAAATGTCCATTAGTATTGGTTAGGAAAGATAGGCCCTCTACTTGCTCTAGAATCAAACTCCTTTGCCTACACACCATAGATTTTCAAAGGTTACCAAAGAGACTTTGAGAAAAGTAAATAGAAAACAGCTATTGTTATTCAGTAGGTCAGACTCATGCCTGCAATGACTTGACCAAATTCCCTGATGTAATCCCACTAACAAAGCTGATCTGCTGAATCCAGAACCAAATAAAGTGTGAGTAAAGCAAGATGCATTGCAGTATGTATAGCTGGAAGAAAACTAATAATGTGTTTATTAAAAAGCATGGTTTGATGTGTGTTGTGGAGTTGGTTTGACAGTCCAAGCTGTCTTGCGTCTTTAAAAGGTCAAAAAAAAATACCACCATTATTCAATTATCTTCTGTGAGAGAAAACAGACTTTGCATGATACAGTCATAAAAGCCAATTTTGAAAGCCGCTTACAAAATACTTTAATCTACAAAAGATTCATGAATTACTGTCCTTATTCATTAGTAATATTATAGTCTAGAGCAGCATATAAATTAAAATAATTGTACTGACTACACTGTAGTTATGGTAAGAGACTTCTAAGTCCCTGTAGAGGATTAAGCAAGAGGACACATCTGATGAGTGTTTAATAGCTGCACAAAATATTTTGCAATTAAATTGTTCAGGAGTAATAAGAGTTGATTATAGAGAGATTTAAATCTTGACCTTTCATGTTCAAGACTTTGGGTCATAATTGAGATTTGGGGCTTAAATTTAAAACCTTAGAGTGTAAGCTTTATTTTTCTACATACACCTAAGAGAACTGGTAAACGTTTTTACAGCTCAGAAAGAGATTAGCCTAGAATTACAATATTGAATCTACTATATTTTATATCCCTATCTCAGAAAATTTCCCTTCACAATAATTTCTTGGAAACAATACTGACACTGTTTGAAATTTTGTTCATATGCATTTTCAAATTAAAAATGACCCTTTCCTCATAGATGAAAGTGTTTCTTAAATAATTATGATTTTTTTTTTTTTTGGTAATAGCAAAAAAAAAAGTAAAGCAAAAAGGAAGTGTATTTTTTTGCTTTACTAGATTTTGGCTAGTTTGGCTTCTGGTTTTGAGCAGTGGTATTTTCTCACGTCTCACTTCTGGTTAACTTAATTTTTTACTAAATTGTAATATAGACATATATTGACTAAATTTATTATATTTACATTGACTATATATTTATTTATTTGTATTTATATTGATATTTATTATATTTATACTGACTATAATTTGTTGGAACCATAATACATTTGGAGCATGCAACCAAGCAACTAAGCTTTGAGATATCTTTTATGTATATGGTATTTTCTCCTGTTCTATTTCAAACTCAAAGGATTTGCTCTCTGCACTGCATGGGCTTTGGTTTCGGCCAAATTTTACCTGTAAGACTTGTGATTAACTTTTTTACTTCCAGTGTTAATCTTTGTCTCTCTGTCTTTCTGAATTATATGGTGTTATATATTGCTGTAATTATATGTCATTATACACTGACTATATCAGCAATCTGTCCCAGAAGGAGTAAGAAGTCAGGCTTTGGTCATGTGTCTGTCAGTCTTTAAAGAGTTGTGGGTGCAGCTTCAAAGAAAGGACAAAACAAATTGCAATTATGGTTTGTTTTGCAAAGATCCAATCACCCACAAAGATATATGTTCAGTATATTTTGGTAGAGTGCAAAAGCAATGGAGAGTAATGTAGTGGATTGCATCAGCTCTTCCATGAAATACCATCCTTCTCTTAGTAAACGATCTGTGATCTTCATCAGTAATACCAAGTGGATTTTGCTTAGGTTCCTCCTGATAAAGTTTAGCATGATATAGTAGAAGGAAACAAAGTATGCAATAAGGACCCACCAACCTTGCTAGTCTCTCCCTCCAAGCTAACTGCTCAAGCATCTCCTTACTTTGCATCCCATAGCACCAACCCTCTGAAAGTCCTGTAGGCAACTCTTAAATGCTCCTCTAAACACATACCATCACCTCTTCCCAGGTAGCTCCCATCTAGTCCTCTGGCCTCCTACCCTGGCACAGCGTACCCCTGATACACCTTCTTCACCAAACACTTGTTGCAGCCATCCGGATTCTGCTCTGCAAAATCTAGAGCAGCACCTTGCAATCAGGCAGTTTTTGCACTAAACCCCATAACTGCAGGGTAGTTTGCATTAAAATAAAGTTTGGAGAATGCTACTCTTCCATTGTCTAAACATCATGGTTTAAATTAACCATCATATGAAATCTGTGATATTCAGTGTTCTTTGAGCACTTCCTGGAGAAGACTACATTGACTGTCAGTTAAAGACTGTGGTTCAGTTAACAGGATATATAATTTATATAATAGTGTGTTGCTATAATTTTGATCTACATGGCACACAGGGAATTTCATTCAGTTTTACAAGTAAAAATGACTGTGAAGGGAAACAGTGTGTGGAAAGCATTATCACCTAAGTTTGTGATGTTATTTAAACTGAACTAATATTTGCTTAACAATATTCTCTTCAGTCTCTTCAAGAGTTGGTTTTTGGTTTTGTTTTTTTGTTTTGTTTTGTTTGTTTGAGTTTGGTGTTTTTGTTTGTTTGTTTGTTTGTTTGTTTTCATATGAATTAATTAGCCAATCTTAAATCAGAGCCTGGATAGGAGAAGTTGGATCAAAGGGACTTAAGCGTCTTCAAACAAAAAAGTATTTTCCCTTTGGATTCTGCTTTATAAAATGAAAAAAGCTGGCATTGTAATTTTCAGAATAAGCTTTGTACTGTAAATGTATTGCTTAAATGTGAGATAAACCCAACACTGATGAGTATCTTCTCTTTCTGTAGACTGTTGCATCATTCTATATATTTAAAGCATAATTAGTTGGGATAACATGTCTTGACCTGGGTGTTTTACTTTACAATTAGAATCAAGTATCTGTGTTTATGAGATTGTTTTATATAATGGGGATGAGCTTCTCTCTTCAATTTGGTGTAAAGATAAGAGTCATTACAGCCTTTGAGACAATAGCAAACAGTAGATTATCCTGCCTTGTTGTTGCTGGAGGCCTATGATTGTCATTCCACAGAGGATTGCAGTAATCAGAATTTTCATTCACGCTGAAAAAAAATGACAGTCAGTACCCCAGCTTGTCATTGCAGAAGCTGTAATGAATTTTGATGTATTTTATTATATAAACAGAACTTCAGCCTTTTACTGTGGAAAGAACCTTTTCAGAATAAATATTCTTAGTCAGCCTTCCAGGAAATTTTACAAAGGAGCTAGTTCGGGTGAAAAAAAAATCCTTTTGGTTGTGGAAACTCCAAGATTGGACAGAAGCTGATCAGAATTCCTCCATCATATACATTATTTAGAGATCGTATACATTAATTAGAGATCTTTGGCTAATATTCCATGCTACATATTAACTTTTGTTGATGATAGAATGACTTTTTTAAAAAATAAATTGTAATTGATGTATTTATATATATATATAATATATATATAAAGCTTACTTGAATGCACGCACACACATACGTATGTACATATTATCTATTATTAAGTTCTTTAATGCAGTTCAAAAGAGTGGTTTACAACAAATTAATTTGTTCTATTTCTCTGTAGCTATGTCAATCTATGAATAATACTGTTTCAAAAATATTTCTGTATTATTTAAAGACTTGGCCTATAGTAGGAGAGCTGGCCACTTCTACACTCCGCAACAGATACATTTCTGCTATCATATGTAAATAGGGCAAAATAATTTCTGATATAAAAATCTGGAAAATTAACTATTGCTGAAAATGTCTACAAAATGCTGGTTCATTCATTATGGTCTTTTAGGTTTTTATCTTTGTGCAGAACTCTGTAGCACAGGCATTAGCAGTGGCTGTGGTGTCAGTAGTGTGTTTCTGATCCTAAGACAGTAGGCTGAATTGAGTTACTCATTTTGTAGGAACGTGTAAATAATAAATTAGTTTACAGCCTTTCTAATATATTGGTATTTGTACCACTGCATGTGTTACTCTGGATAAAACAGATCTCACTTTCAAAGGGCAAATTTCTTCCGGACCTTGTTCAAGCTCACTAATTTTTGGGTTACAGTTTGCTCCACAGGGGAAAGGAATGGACTCATTGCCATGTCCTGCCTCACAGCTGTGAGAGATGACTAGTCTTAGAAGAGGGAGACATGGCAACAGCAAGGCAGTTCATGTGTATGCAAATTCCCGTGACTTTTTGAAGTAGCAAAATTGTTCCTGAAGTTGCCTAGGCAGAGTTGTGTGCTGATGTAGCTGAGTGCCATGAGTTCTCTTCTGGCACCTGGATGGACACAGTTGATACAGGTCTGGTCTTCCTAAGACTGGAGCACATATTCAAACCATTGGTGACATCAGTATATCCTGATGTAAAGGGCTGGGCTGTACCCCATTTGCAATATTGGGGGGCAAAACAATGGCATTGGTAGTTAATTAAAAGATATAGAAGGTAAACTCCTGTGTTTTGTTAAGACACTCAGATGTAAACATTTCAAACCAATCAGTTTATCTACTTCGTAGGAAACGGAGCAGTATACATTTCCTTTATCTATGTTTATTATCATCTAGTGTGACTGACTGAAGACACCATAATGCATCTGTATGACAATCCTATAGGATTTAGTTGTTTTACCGTTTTTCTCTAAATTTAGAAATATTTGTTTATGAAATATTTCTTGTATTCCTTTTATTGAATTTTACTTTGTGGAAGAGCTTATAAATTTCTTCATATACTTTAAATTTTCTTCTATAGTTTCCTGATCAACATCTGCATTTTCATATCTTAATTTTTATCCTGTGGCTTTGTATCTTCTTACAATAGGCATCTAATTAAATATATAGAATAAGCATCAAGAAAAATT